AAATGATGCACTCCATCTTTAGTGACATGGTCTACTTTCCTGAATCTCCCTTCTGGTCCTGCTCTGTGGATTCTATTCACCCTGGACTCTTAATGGCTAATTAAATTAGCAAATGACTTGCCCAATGCAACTGGCTGCTTAATCTGATAAACCAAGTGTTATCTGTTAAACATTTTAAGTTGCTTTCCGGCCAGCCAAAGCTATGCCCTCACCATCAGCAAGATTATGTAATCAAAAGATTTCCAGGTAAACAACATGCATGATTTATGTATGGTAGTCCTGTAACTAGACAGATGAAAGAAAAATGCACTTGAATAGTATGAAAATGTATACTGGAATGTGCAGCTTTGTGTCTAGTTAAACTGAACAAACCAAACAGCAGACAGGGTGTTGTTGTGTTTATCCCCAAAAAGAGCCAGCCCAACTTAAAATAATGTCTTAAACGGTACTTGAACTTCGGTACACATGCAAGTGTTAATAACAGCCAGTGAAGCCTCATTTAGTCATTCTCCTAAACATTAAGGTTAATTCACCATAGGTTACTTTCTACTTTCTATACATCAGCTTCTGTGGCTGTTGCAGTCTGTTAAGCTCATTTTCAGTGCTTTGCCTGAAAATGCACAAGCCAGACAGCTCTGCCAGTTAAGACCCAGAAGCGAATCTAGTGAAAGGGCACCCAGGCTCGTGACATCACAGCGAGGACAATCTTGTCTCACAGGCTTTGCTTGCTGTTGAACAAATGAGTGACATAGAGAACATTGTGAATACCCTCTCCATGGAGTGCTGTGTTTTGGGTCCCAGTGTGTTACTGAGGTCTCTGTGTTTGGAGGCCAGGAGGCAAAAAATTGGACTCAGAATCCCCTGCCATTTCTTATTCTTTCCCCTTTAAGATAACAAATAAAAGTGAATAACGTTTTCTAAAGGTTAGCTAGCTCCTTCATACAATTGACCCAAACCCTCAAACAGTATGTCATTCAAACATATGTTGTTCTGAAGTATACCTCAACTTGTCTTGCATACCAGACCATATGATGATGAATCCACAGCCTTGATCAGAATCCACACTGTTCTGCGAGCACCAATAAATCTGCCAACATGGTCTGTCGACCTCTGGCAAATCAAACCTGTGATATGTTATTGTACTGTATATGAGAACTGGGGTGCTCTCTTATACTTCACATACTGGAGATGATCAAGATAGTCCCAGGAGATAAACCCAAAGGGTTTCAGCTAACCGTTTAGAGTGTTATCTGCCTAAAGGAAGATGGATCATCAACCATAGCTGCAGTGTAGCATCACTGATTAGCACGTCTACCTTGGGGCTCAGGACTGGCTCTAGGAAAAGACAGAAGCGACTTGGAGGAAGACGAGCCTCGTGGCGAATGAATGAATTAATTAACTGTGTGAAAGACGCGGTACGTGGCTGAGCGTCGGTGACTCATCTGGCTCGGAGAAGTCTTCCTCAGAGAAGGCAGGGCCTTGTGTGACAAGAGGGGACCGTTTAGGTGGGCGTGACGGCAACATGTCTAGGCAGCGCATGGAAACTAAATTGCACATGACTGCAGGCCGTCTTCAAGCATGATTCTCTCTCCCCTGGAGAACCAGCCCCTTGTCGGCACATCACCCTTTATCACAGCTGCAAACACTGACCTTTAACCCTGTCGGCAACACACAGAAGCAGTAGCCTTTTTTAGTTCTTCCCAGCCAGAGCACAGTGTGTAACATTGAGTGAACTGGTACCATTATAGACAATAATCCAATTCAGGGAGAAGCCTAATGCCCAAGAGACCAGAACCCAGAATGACTAATTTGTCGTATTGGCAGACAGTGCAGTAGATGCAGGCAAAGGCAAGTGTCATTTCCTGAGTTATCGCTCCAGCCGAGAGTTGGGCACTGAGGGGTTTAGGTGTTAATGCTGTTTTATAATGGGAAAGAAGAAGGTCAAGAAAGAAGCCAGCAAGCTGAATATTAACTGCAGAGTTGGAAGGAAGACCTTTTCATTGTGCCTGGGGGTGAATAATTCTGTCGAATGTGCATCACCTACTTCATCATAATGAACAACCAGAGTCTCCTACAGTAACTTCCTTTTAGTCTCATGACATGAATACATAGTGTGAGATCCAATACAAATTCTATAATATTGTAACAGGGAACCAGTGTGCATTAACAAAATGATGTTTTTTTTTTCCTGACACAATAGAAGATATATTTTTAATTTTGTATGTCCTGTCCAGTGAAAATGCAATGAATGCTTGTTGTGTTGTGATCCGAATGTGATTAAAGGCTTCCCTGCTGTCAAATGCACTTTTCAGCTTTTATCCAAACTTGGTCTGCCAGTGAAATACTGGGCATTTCTACCAGGAGAGAAGGAATGATTAATTCAAGCACCAGAGTATGAAATCGGCTGTGACATGTGAAGAAAAGTTTCCCCTATGTAATCAAAACATGTTTCGTTCCAATGTTAAACTGTGACAGTGGAAAGAAGCAGGAAAGGACTGAAACTTCTTCCTATCCAGTCTGTTCAGATTTAAGTTCATTTCTCTGAGTGAATTGTACAATATTGTGTTGTGGTATACTTGGCTGCACTGGAAAAGCTGGGCTCTGGGTTGTCATTCTGTAATCAATGGAGCCTCTATTGGAGATTTTAAAATAATTAACGGGCCAAAGTGTGAGTCTGAGATATGGACTTACTCAGCAGGTTAACAGAAATCCTATTGTCTGTGTCCAATGGGAAAGGGCTCAATAAACACATTTCTGAAATGTGTGAAAGCTCCAGGGGGATTCATACTGTAGGTCAGAGTGTGAATAATCTATTTCGTCTCTCCTCCTTTCCTCTGGATCTGAAATAACAGCACAAAAGTGCTGTCCCCAACATTTGTGCTGGGAGCTCCTCCATTTCGTGCCTCGACTACAGAAGAGTAGTTGAGCTCTGGACTTCAGTAAGAGCAGGATTGAGGAAATTGTACACTCGTTTTTTTTATTTTAAAAAATACCCATGCAAGTTCAGGAATAAAGTATGATAAATGGGAGAATCGCGAAATAAAAGTTTTCATTTTGTATTTCTTTGATCATTTTTGATAATTGTCTGTTATTGATTTAATGATAATTAAATGATAGATTTTTAGCAAATCAAATCTCAGATCTGAAACAAGCTACTGTATGGCTTTCTCAAGGTGTTCTTATTCTCTTCAGAAGATATGAAACCACTACATGAAGGAGGGAAATTCTGAATTTTGGTGTTTAGATATGATTTTTTTTCCATTTTGATTTGGGAGGGAGATAAATGCTTCATTGATTAGGATGTTTCAAGCTTTTTACATCCACGTGCAAGAATTGTGATGAAACATCTTCTATGCTAACGTCAATGCAATAGAAGCCCTTCATAGATTGAGTCACAGACCAGAGGAGCCCTCCCAGACTGAGTCAACTCAATCTAACTATTAAGTCCTCAAAGATAAATATACGTCAATCTACATAATTTCATTTGACATTTTAAGACCACAATCAAAAAAACTCAAAATCAATTAGTCTGTGATTAACAACTCAGCTGGAGCAAAAACTAGAACAGACTGTGTTACTGCAGGACTAGGGTTGGCAATCAGTAACGCAGTGTTAAACCAGTCCCATTTTTTGGTGGACATTAAAAAATGTTCCACACTTCTTTAAACTACACCCACTTTATAGACATTTCTCCATTGACCTCACTAGATTTAGGAGGCATAAAGCAGCTTATGCAAGAAGGACAGACGCAGTCCTGAGCAGCTAGTCTGGAAGCAGCCTCTCTCTCAGAAGTTTACAGTTTGCCCTGCCTGTGCTAGGAAGCCAGATGACGTCACATTTGCCAGGTGCACATTTGGTCCAGAGCCATTCAGACTGCAGCCTGTCGAATTGGGTGGGCACCTGTGGGACTGCACAGCACCTGTGGGACCTCCTCCTCCAAATAGTTTGAGGGACTGTCCTATACCATGTTTCAGTACAGCAGCAAGATTAGGATTGTCAGGACTGTCTCAAATTGCTGTGCTATAGACATTTGGAAGCAAGGCATAGAAGATTGAAAATAAATGCCTATTCTGAATTTTATCAGGTCAAAAAACGGTCACCAGAGGGGGAAAAAAAGCAACTGTATCCCAGTAAAAAAAAGGAGCACAGGGTAATAAAAGCACTTTTTGCCTTTCAAATCGTAGCCCTGACATGTGAGCTCATCTTCTGTTTCCTCACAACCTGTGGAAAGAAAACGACAGGCTTAATTTAAGTCATGGTGACACTTTTTTATTCTAATGTTGTTTTGCCCTCTAAGCTAGTAGTTAAAAAAGTCATGATAATAATTCATGTTAATTTATTCTGTCTGCCTGGAGAAATTAAAGCTTCTAAAAATAGTCTTTTTGTTATGTGGAGAAATCGGCTTGTGATTCTAATGGGCTTGATAGAGGACGTTATTGATCCACTTTCCCAAACTTTAGTTGATGGTCAATTATTCTCAATCGATTTGTTAGCCTTGCAAATAGGAGCATTAGAGGCAGTGTTCTATGGTTCTGTTTCATAAAAGAATCGCTAAGATTGTGAAGTGCATTGTAAACGGCAGCCATGGGCGAAATAAATTTAAATTGCTACTGAGTACATACCTTGGATAGCTCATTTTTACAGTTTTGTTCACCTCTGCCTTATGCAATAATGTGGAACATTAAAGCTGTTAGTGTGCTGAAGAAGAAGAATTTAAATTAATTAGAATTACAGTGGAAACATCTGTCTGCAAAATGTATTCCACTACAAGTTGTTTGAAATATGTCACCAGTTTGTTTTCCGTTGTTTTTGCTCGATTTCAAAAACTCTGTTCATTACAAAGCATGATTTTATCCAAGTTCTCTTCTTCCCCGAACACCTCCATCTTTTAATTGCGTGTGTCCCCTTATAAGCTTGGCTGCAGCGCTTCTTGTCTTTACTTCCTGTCTTGTTTCCTTACTTCCTTTTTCCTGCAATTCTGTATTCTTTCTCTGTTTCAGCAAAACTATAAAGGTCAAAGTAATTGATGACGAGGAGTATGAGAAAAACAAGAACTTCTTCGTTGAGATTGGAGAGCCCCGCCTGGTGGAGATGAGTGAGAAGAAAGGTGGGGGACCTGCTCTGTGGGCCAGGGCCTCCTTCCCTGACCCATCTCCCCCACCCCTCTCCGGTCTGGGAATGCGGGGCCTCCTCTGCGGCCAGGCTGGTTCACTGTAGCACTGCGCACATTCACACCACTAGGGGGCAGCGCAAAAGGAGGCGGAACCTCAAAATCTGGGCAAAGCCGGTTCTATGGTTTTGGAATAAGGCATAGTTATATACTGTACTACACATAGTTAAATTAAGTTAAGCAGCGAAGAGGTATTTCATGAAGCTTTAATAGCAGGCAACCAAAGAGAACCTCAGTCATTTTACAATACACGACCTTCTGAGGCTGCCCTTTGTCCCGCCTTGTTTGCACTCCAAGATGACGTGAATGTGCGCAGACTGTCTCCTGTCATGACATCTCACTAACCACCTGACCACAGGGTTGAGTGCGATGCCAAGGAGTTTGGAAATGTGTGTGTGTGTGTGTCATTCCAGCCTCCCCCCATTGTTTGAATCTGTCTTGTGTCCCCACAGGAAGACCATTACCATTAAAATTCTTGACCGCGAGGAGTATGATAAACAGTCCTATTTCTACGTAGAGCTGCAGGAGCCAATATGGAAAAGGCGAGGATGGGCAGGTGTGAGAGTACAACAGAGCAGATAAATCAGAACCTCAAAAGCCTTTTTCCTCTGTCTTCTGCCATTTGTCTGTCTCTCTACTCTCACACTTTTTCTGTCTCCTGTGGCTTGTTGCGCCCAAGCTTTTGCTCAGTTTCCAAAGAAAAAGTAAAAAAACATAAGACTTAATTTAATTCTTACAATGTGGCTAGTATTCCCCAAATTAGCTTTTGCTCATATCGGCACACCCTAATTGATTCCGCTGAGCTCTGCTTAGAATCATTATTTTCTTATGGTTCACTGAGAACAATGAGAGCATGCTTACACACACAAATTGCTTTTGCGCCTTCTCCTGACATCTGCTAAGCATCCATCATTTTTGGTATAATCCTGTGTCACTCCAATGACAACATGGTAAGACAGTAGTTCATCCCAATTTATAACATTGTAATTTCTTAGTGTAAATGTACCATACTTGGTTAAAATCTCCTAATCCACCCCCTAACAATTAGATTTTAGATATTATCCTAATTGTTTTAAATAAATAAATCACACTTAACGGTTGGAGTTCTTTGGGTGGCTTGGTTCTCAGGTGAGAGCTACAGATCGATTTTGTCCGGAAAAAAAGGCTAAAGAACAAAAAGGATGGAATGTGAAAACTCAGCTCCGTTTTTTGGGGGGGAACGATATGAAAACCACACTCCAACGAATTCAGCTTTGTCATGCAGCAGTTAATCGCCGCAAACCTTTTTTTCGGGGGAAAAAAACCACAGTACCGCCAGTTGTGTTTACACTGCAGTGAGGTTTGTTTGAAGAAATAAGTTCATGTCTTTATAATCTAACCTCCCACATACATTAATGTCAGTCTTCAAGAAGACACCGTTCTACAGCAAATATTTGTCTGGCTCCAAGCTCACAAGCCATTGGCATTAGAAGCAGTGATCATCTATTAGTTCTGACATTTAGTGCAGCGATTTAAATTTGATCCCTGTGTATTATTTTGTGATTGCAAGTCCAAATATAAATTACCATTCTGTAAGTGAGGCCTGGCCTCTTGTCAAGGTACAGCCCTAGGACAGCAATACCTTTATTAGTGAAGTACTGTAAGGCACCTGAGTTCAAATCTAACTACAAGTTTGCTTCTTTTTTCAGTACCTTGTACTGGCTTGTCTCTTAGCAGAACTCAATCTGTGAATGAACATGGCCTCCATCCAAGAGCATCAGTATTTCAAATGATTGCAAATACTGTGGCATTTTTTTGTGTTTAGTCTCAACAGTTACAGAGGGCTGGATAGAAAATAAATGGCCTTGCAAAACATAATTGCAGTGTATTCTCTAGACTAATTATTCTGTTATAACATTTTACAAGAGAATTTCTATGTAGTCTTTTGTTTGATGCATGAGGAATCACTGGGCTGAGTTGGAGCAATCCTAATTCTACAGTCAGCAAGTTTAAAATATACTTCACTGGGGAAAGAGAGACCAAAACAAACTGTTCCTGCTCCCTAAGATGGAACACACTGGATTTATATCTGCTTGCAGGGCCACAGATGGACTTGATGAATTACTAAAGGACTCTAGAGGAAAAGATTGCAAATAGTCTGCAATGAATGACTGACTAGAACAAGCACACACTAATTAACCCCCCAAACACAATCCCACTTATTTCATGTCTGTCTGGAAAAGTGCAAGAACAGTCTATTATGACAATATGTTAGTTTTTTATGTTTGAAAAACCAGCAGCAAAAAAAAAATGTAAACGTCAATAATCACTTCAATACATTCTGAATTGAAACCATTTACTCTAATTTAAGCAGAAGCTACTTTGCCCCAAAATAAATAAAGATATGTAAACTTTCTGGTAATGCCATAATGTCAATTTTAGATTTTTATCTCAAGCTTTTCTTACACTCCACGGGCCTTTATTTCCAAACAAATTGTAACAGATGCAGATACACGCTTTTTTTAAACACACTTCATTCCCAATTTATTTTAACTTTCACGTTTTATGTCGATCTAGAAATACTGGCCCTGGCATTTGCAGTCCTTTGTCTGCAAGCCTTCAGTTCTAGTTTTTGTGTGCCATAGATAAATGTAATAATTTAATTATTATTACAGCATAAATATATTACTGGCCTAATGCTGTGTTGGAAAAGGTTTCCCCATTGAGCTAATTGTTTGACACAGAATATCGTATTCATGTCTGAAGGACAAATACAGTAGGCTCCAACAGTCATTCCTCCAGAAAGCACTGTTCTTCAAACAGAGTCCCCTTCATGTCTGCATCATCTGGCATATGATTTATGTATTTTGACAGTGGCTTGTGTGCTGTTTGTTCTAACTATGTTCTTTTTTTTCCTTATGTTTTCATTGTCTTGCTCTTTTTTTTTCTGTGTGCGCGTTTGGCATCTTGTCAGCCCTGTTGCTGCATGAGTATGGTAAGCTGTCCTTTATCTTTTATTTTACCTTTTGTCTCTTTCATACAGGAAATGCTGTTTAGTGTTTCATTTTCATACCTTCCTTCCACCTCCTTTTCCCTCTTTTTTTAATTCCTTAATTAGAAGTGTAAGTGTTTGAAAATACAATGTCACTGCATGATTTGTGCTACTTCGCAAGTCCAATGCTTATAGAGCCACATTCAAATACTCAGAGTTTCACTCACCGACTTGGGATGATGATAGATGATTTCATAGAAATATATCCATACACATAGAGTCAAAAGGGAAAAAATGACATTTTATGTGCCACAGCTTTTTCAGATTTTAATTGTTCCTTAAAAAAACGTTCATATTCAAATAAAAAAAATATTTTTCCCAATCTGTTAATAGAATGAAGTGTTTTAGAGACTGTATTTTAAAAGTTTCTACATTTAAAAAAACTTTGTCCTTGTATTCAAGGATAACTTGTTTTAAGGAAGGAAAATGCAGGATGTTTAGTGAGAATTATCCCATAAAATCCCTGAGTGGTTCAGACGATCACGGTTATCATTCATAATCCTGTACATAAATGCAACATTCAATCTCATAGTTTAACTCGTAACTTATATTCATCTGGTACTGGATTTTTAATTTAAGGACTTTTCTGTTCTCTGGAGGAAAAAACTCCTGAAAGGGCTGTGTAAGGCTTCATTACTGAAAAAACAGCTTGAGAAAATCTAATTCACAAAAAGATTCTATAAGAATGTTAAGTTTTGTTTTCAAATTGCTTTGAAAGACGAGTAAACCCTTTTTAATTATATTCTCAGGCTGGTCTTAAATTCAGATTTAGACAGGTGATTAATGTAGATACAGAAACAGTCAATTCTATTAAAATAAAAAACGTGCTTGTTTTTAGTGGTTATGATTGATTATTGCTGATTATTTTATTCATAAAAGAGCAGAATGATAATTTATTTTCTTAATGACTAAAACACTTTTTGCTGGCTTGTGCTTACTAGCCACAAACAAACTAGGTACATTTTCATTCAATGAAACTCTGAAAAGGATTGTTTTCAAAGTGTTCCTTTATGTGTTACATTTTAGGTGGATTCGTGAAGACAGGTACGGATTTCTGTTACAAAATCTCTCAAATCATAAGATTTTAATTTAACCAATTGTCAGATGTTTTTTTTATTAATTAGCGACTTCATTTTTGTTTAAAAGGGAGTGTTCTGTACGGTAAGAGCCTATTTTCATAACTTCAACACAACAGATGCTAAATTTCCGACAAGAAAAAATAAACTGAAGTCCTTTTGGCATCCATTTCGCAATGTGAAATTTGGCATGTTGTCACCTTCCATCGTTTTTTTAATAAAATGTTATTCATTTGTGCATCTAATCGGACAATAGTTTGGCATAAAATAGAAATAATCTAAATTGCATGTCTTCTACATCACCAACATCTTCCAACTCTCCTTTAAAAAATAGGAAATGTTGCTGTTACATTTCTGAGAAAATTCAGTATTTCTAGTGGAGTTATGAGGGCCGATCAGTGTATTTCGCAAACTGAAGGGCTTATTTTGATGGTAATCCTGTGAGGTGGATTACTGCAACACATCTCGATTATCTGACAAAATAATTTGATTTTTCACTATTTCATTGTACAGTACTTGTTTCAAAATTTTTCAGAAGTGAAGCCAAAAGGATTTTTCAGATTCTGGTTGCAGTCCATTAACACACTTTCCTCTCCCAAGAACGCGTGGATCAGCATCTCCTGGGTTTTGTTAGCCATTGTATTCAGTTCTGACATCCACTGTCGTGGTCAGTGGCCAGTCTGTTTCATATCAGTTTAAGATACCCTTAGCCTTTTTATATCATTGATGCTCTGCCTTGTTTTGTTTAGATACTACAGTCACGTAGTGGGAAGGGTGCTGAAACTAATGAATCCAAAGCCAAGCGGCTCACAGCTTTTTCAGTCAAGACTTGTCCTTAAAGAACACGGCTGAGGATTCTCACTTACGAAGACTGTGGCATTAATGATCTTTAACCATTTAAATAAGGAATTTAGCCTTGATTGTGAATGGCACATGATTTCTACAATGGTGAAACCACAAATTTTGGACCAGCTTTTTAGATGAGTTGTCAAAGCCATGCACAAAGTGAAACTTTATCCTGTTAAGTTTCAAGAAGCATGGACTTAATGCACAATGAGCAATTTGCAGTATTTTTTGTGACATCTCTTACAGATTGTCATTTGGCTATTAGAGATGATAACGCTAATGATGATATTTAATTACCTTTTCTGTGAATTTTGCACCTTTTAATCTTTATCAGCTAAACGGTGTTGTATCCTGGTAATGTCTTCTATAAATTATGGATAATATTTTGAAATTTTCAAGCAAACCCTGGAATTAAACACTGATCTGGTGGTCTTTTTTTAATTTGTTTTTGCTTGTAACCTCTGCATAAATGAGAGAATGATATGACAGTACTAACCCTAACACCATTAGCTTCAACACGTTTTGCAGATCTGACTCACTGATACTGTAAGTGCTCAAACCGCAGGTAGTGTTTGCCGCATAGCACAGGCTTTTAAAACACAATAATTTACTTTCCAGGTCATTTTCTTGTGTAAAACAGAATTTACTGTAAACATGATTTTTTTTTTGTTTAGGCCAGTTTTGAAATTAAAATCCTGAACCTCGCACTTAGAACGTTAGAAACCAACACTGCTGTCGTTTATTCATTTTTGAATACTGCTGTTTATTCGTTTTGGAAAACACTTCTGCTCAGACCTGGGATGTAGAAACAGTAGACTGTCTCAAGCTAGATCTTAGGGCACCTAAACAAGGCCAGCCTCAAGAATTCAGCTCTACTGACTAGTTCACATGAGCATGCATCACTTTCAGCAAAATAAGTCCTGGACCAGGTTGGTCCAAGGGGTAATTCCTCCCCTTTCTTATTCTGAAAGGCCTGGTATAAATGAGCTTTCTACACAGCTTGCTTACCTTTGAAGAACTGTTGTGCGTCTTCTGTCTCTACGATGACCAAGCATTAAGCACAAACACCACTACTAAAAAAAAATAATCCATTCCTCTCTTTCCCCTTCCCCTTTTGGAACTGTGTAAATAAATTTGTTTTCTGATCATCACTCCATTAGGCCAGAATGTCTACAGAAAAGTTCAAAGTAGGGACAATCCAGTTCCTTCTTCTGTCATCTGCTTCGCAGGTACTTTTTCTTCTTCGTGTCACTCTTGTGACTGCATTTTAATTGCCGCTCAACAAATAATTTCACAGCGTCTGCTTTTCTTTGACACCCCTGTGCCCAATAATATTTTGCACTCAGTTGTTTCGAGTCGAGTTTTTATTCACCTTAAACATAAAAAAGGAGAACCCACGATTCTAACATAACCAGCCTGAATGAAGCTGTCTTCCTTTCAAGTCAGCCCCTTGATCTCGACCAGGCTTGGCTGCCTCTTCCAGTGTTTTGAAACATTCAGTGTTGAATTGTCTGGCATGCTGTGTAACACGCTGTCCCAAGGCATGTCACACCAGCAGTATGATCGCCGGCGTTCCACCCCTGCGATTCTGTTTCAAGCTATTGATCGTTCTGCTTTTGCTTTGATTTGGAAAGTCCAACCTCTACCTCAATCACAGCATTGGCTAATAGCATCGGAGAAATTCCAGCTACAAAATTCTAGCAGCTTCAGAATTTTGGGGTCTCCATCGTTCTCTCTCGGGATCCCCAAGTCATAGCCATGTGTCATTTAGGAGGTAAAGTAGTGGTGCTACCATCAGTGTTTGAAGTATTTAACTTCATTCATTCAAGCTCTATGAGGCTGTGAAATGAATGTATAAGAGGAGAATTCTGAAGGAAATGTAGAACCGCAAAGATTACTACAGTGCAGTACAGACTGTAGCACTTAGACGTTTACATTTAAAAGAAACACTACATTTTATTGAAATAAAAACAGATCCACTCACATGATAACCTTAAGCCATCTGCATTTCTTAAGCAAAAGGCAGATGGCGTTCTGCCTGGAGGTAAAAGGAGCTCAAGAGGAAACTAAAAAGGAAAACTTTTAAGAAGGAAATGGATATGTTTGTGCTCATTGGCAAATAATTGTTTTCTTAAATACTGTTCCTATAAATGGCGGAAGTATGCCCGAAGTAGTATTATTGAGAGAATACTTAAAGTGCTCTAAATTCTTATAGAATAGGGAGCTTAAAACACTTTTCTAGTCAGGCATATCTAATAGGTTGTTTAGAAGGAACAGAAATAGACAGACTCCGTGCTGCCCTGCAGTTTCCCTGGGGGATTGGGAGGCAGAGGCCACAGTACACAGAGCGAGCTCGGTGAAATTAGGGCCGTAGTCCTGTGGCTTTGAGCCTCGGCGTTCTGACAAACATCAATATTCTTCATGGCACAGATTCTTCCCTCCAGCAGGAGAGGGTCCTCCTCTGACAGCAGGGCTTTTTGGGTTTCATCTCACGCGAGTTGACTGTTGTTGGATTAATTACACGACAAATTCAAAATTGACCAATAAGGCACAAATCAAACATTGCTTCAACATCGCTGACCGTATCGTACCCTCTGTCCGGTAAGAATTGTACTACAAGTTATTCTGCTTGAAATATTGTATAGATTTATACTGTCAGAAAGGGTTAGATAGATGCTTCTTGAAAGCTTAGCAATTTTGTAAATGAGTAGAAGGAGACTTTGGAGACCTCGTACCCCTGTGCAGTAACGTCTGCTTTTCACTATCGAGCAAAAATGTTGAAAATCTTGGGAGAAGTCCACTATGTTTTATTTTCACAGTCAGTTATGGCAGGACTTATCATGTTGACCACTAAGGGTATAAGACCTCTTTCACATCCTTCAGAATTAAAGATAAAGAATGAATGTAGTTCTCTTAAAATAAAGCACTGAACGTCCCCTCTATGCCATGGCTTTAAACAAATACAGAATCACAGAATTGGTTTTGGTCGCAGCTCGAGATGATTTACTGAGCGTGACCTTTCAGGGTGTAACTTAAGAGGCGTTCAGTAATTACTCCACAAATTCTGCTGCGCACCATCGACCGCGCACAGACACCCAATATCCGAACCTGCAGTTAATCTCATACTGAGCAGGATCACTGTTGCAACAACACATCATCGGCAGGGCAGACCAACCAGCCCACAGCTTTCTAAACCCAGCTCACGTTCCTGGTTAGTGAATGAGCAACACAGTGCTTGGTGAATTCTGCCTTGCAATGATAGGAAGAGCCACCATTCAAGGATCAAATTTCAGCATCGCTATGAGCACTTGGCTGCCCCAAGCCAGTGATCCCCGCATTAACTTTTCTCACATCTACTGTTTAAAACCCCAAAAGAAGAGAAGGTGTCGCCTTCACAGTCTGTGTTCATACTGACAACCAAGATCAAGTGAGATTTCACCCTTCTTCATTGTCCTCTTTCCAAAATGATAACAAATGTTGAGCGCACGGTACTTTACAAAATACCAGTTTTAGGAGTTTTAAAAAAGCAAACACCCTTTTCATGAATATATTGTACAACCTTCTTTCTCATTCTGCTTGCCTCTATAAAAACAGTAGTGTCCTCCCAGCTTGCATGAAATCCCCAGTGTGTGACCCCTCTATGCTATGTTACATGCTAGTGGGTGTACTGGGGTTCACGGCAGTCCCCTCATGCCAAATTGAGCACCTTAAAAAGGTTGCGTTAATCAAAGGTAACGCTATAAGCTCCTTGTACTGGCAGTGACAGGGACTTTCTGTGTAAGTCCCTTACTCCGTCACGTTCTATCAAAACAAGCTGCTGCAGACAACCTGGAAGTTGCCCTTTTTTCATTTTTTTTAAAAAGAAGATTTTTTTTTTCCAGCACCGTACTCAGAAAATATTTTCCCAGCTAATTTGGCATGGTACTCAGAAAAACCACAGCTATATATAGTCCCAAGAATTTCAAAGTGGAGTTAGTCAGTTTCCAGAAACCAGTACAGATTGGGAGAATAAAATCTCACCATCTTGTCCCATTGACCGGTGCATTTAATTGACCAAATTGACAGGCTTTGCAATTCTCCATATCCGAATTTCTGTGCAGCTTTCCCAGAAACTTCTGAATCTTTGAAAAACATTAACTTCTCTTTTTGGTCATGTCTGCCACTTCAGAAGTTTTACGTACTGTATACAGTAGTAGTTTCAACCTTATACATTTCTAAGTAATAAATTACAATCATAACCCATTTACTGGGAGTCTGTTTGGTATTTAAAGCAATCCGAAAGATAGAAAAGCAAAAGATAATGCAAAAAGCCTTGATTTTCAAGTATTATGGCAATTTCAAGTATTATGGCAATTGGATAAATTCCTCCAAGGTCAACTGGTACTGTACTTTTAAATTATGCGCTCCATGATTTAAATCACATGCATAACATAAATAAATGTGGGCTCTCGCCACAAAAATAAATAAAAAAAGATATAGTGCAAGCATTTCTGGTCATTAATAATCATATTCCAGTGCTAGATAGAGATTTGGCTTGTGTTTTAAACTGTAGTTCTAAAGAGAAGTGTTTAGTCTGTATTTCAGTTTTCTGCATACCATGTACTGCCCTGGCGAATTGTACTGTAAAGACAGGGTTAGTCAAGGCCACGTCTGAAGGAATACATGAATAATGAACTCTTAACATAGGTCACAGGATTTGAAGTTGTTATTTATTCATTAAAATCGAAATAAAAAATGTTTTAATAAGTCGCAGGTCGCAGCTTTGTAAATAGGACCGCCTTTATTTTCAATGCTGGCTAGGATCATATTTATTTAAATTACATTTGAACGCAGTTAGGCCCTGAGTTTTTAATGAACTCAAAGATACTCTTTTGTATGCAAGAGTCTCCAGATAACATTTTCAACATTCCTTTGTGATCTGACATGTGGATTAAAGACAAACTTGATGGTATGTGAACTTAAATGTTCCTAATAAATAACCTTAATAGCAAATACTATTAAGTATTTAATAAAACCAGCAGAAGAATTATTTCAAGAAAACACACAGTTCTTTTTGATGGTATACTGCCCAGTAATTCATTTCACTGCACCTACTGTGGTCCAACCATCTCGGAGGGCACTATATATTGTGGTGATATAAGTGAAGATTTCACAGCTGAGAAGAACTACTGCCAGTTTATTTTTGTGACGGTAAACCCGATAAACTTGAGACAATGACCAGACCAGAGTACTATATAACTTCCCCTAAAGAGAGTGGCATAATTCTATCAGAAACAAAAGGGAGAAACAATCTAGAAAGTAAGTAACTCAAGAAGCATGAAGAGAAATGGTACACATCCACAATATCTTTAAAACTAATTCCCCTTGCAGTAGATTGGTAAATGCCAGCAGTGCAACCAGGACCACATTAGAAGAATATATTGGGTAGATGCCCAGTTTAAACAGCATAGACAGAATGGGTTTGGGTTGTAAAGACCCCTATTACACTGTGTTAGTCACCCATGTCCCCCTTTAAAGGAGAACACAAGAATGTTTTTACTTCTTCTTATATAATTAATTTGAACCGCACCCCTCACATAGACACGTAAGAAACATCATATCTGAAAATTCAATTGGCTATGAGCCCTTGTGGCTAAAGACTGCAGAGGTCTTGCAGTGGATCAGATAGCTGTTGCAGTTACAGCCTGATGTGTTGGCAGGTTCTGTCTTCCTCTGCAAGACCATCATTACCTATACAGTTATTCTTGTTATAGACCTACAGTACATTTTATACTTCTTAGGCCCATTAATCTTGTTTTTTTTAACAAAATAGCTGGATTCCAGCCTGCTTTTCCACTGCAAAGCCATTTATTTTTTTCAGAAAACATAGAGTAGCAAACCTGGTATGAGTCATGAATAAGTTTCTGTTGACCGGTTGCTGCCATATGAGTCACATTAGACATGTATGCATTTACTTTCCCTTTTCCTCCGTGTGCAGAAGCTTTCTGGTCTTGTTAGATGGCATTTCATGGGTCCACCTATATATTTTCCAATCCAACCAAAACATGGGCTTTTGTAATACAATCTCATTTTTTTTACATTTAATTACTGTTTAGAAACAAACACCGTTTAAGATTTGTCATTTTCTTCGGTTAGACCATTTAATCTCACAATACAGTATTTACAGGACCATTCCATTGCTTGTAATTAAAATGTAAGGTGACTTAAATAATGTATTGGTAGAAAAGCACTTGCCTTTCATTATTTTCTTACACACCGTGAGAGGAAACTGAAATTGGATTACACTGAAACATGGAAACATTTGTTGGGGGAACTGATGAATTCTATGCCATTTATTGACAAACTTTCTGAAAGATCGCCCTGCCTGAAGCATGTCTGACTAAGCTTAGTTTTGATGTGGAATGGCTTACATTCAGCAAGACTCTGCAGCCCACAGCATAGCTCCTAGTAAGACACAACATTCCAGGTTCTTGATCCTCCAGATAAGCTTTTCAGGAACAGGCGGGAAAAGCTTCACTAATCTAGCTAAACTTCCAAGCTGTTCTCTTTTGCAGAGGAAGGGGATGAAACGGAGCCCCTGACTGGCAAAGATGAGGAGGAGCGCCGCATCGCAGAGATGGGCAGGCCCATGCTTGGAGAACACATGAAACTTGAAGTGACCATTGAGGAGTCATACGAATTCAAGGTACTGGATCAGGGATGGCTGCATTTTATACATCTCCTTCCTCCTTGAGCTTCACATGCTGTAGGTTGACGGGTCTCCTTCACTGTTCTTGACCAACTGATTGTGCCGGAAGGGCGGCATCTAGTTTTGTGCAGCAGAAGCCTCTACAGGGGTTTCGCCTTCAAACGAACCTGACCTTTCAAAGCTGACAACAGAGGAAACCTCATTACAGGCCTCAACCAAACTAACTTGCAGAGAGCAAACTTAGAGAGAGGAAAGCAGAGCCTGTCAGAGCTACAGTACTATGCAGAGAGGCTTGCAGGCCTAAAACCCCAGCAGCCTTGCTGGTAGCAGTCAGATCTCTAGCCATCTTATCACTTTTGAGATGATGTCCTGGGACTCGGTTATGTGGGCAAATCCTATTAAGAACGAAAGAGATGAGGCTTTTGAATTGCATCAGTCTACTATGAAGAGCGTAACCTGACAATGATGTGTTTATAATCCAGTGCCTCCAGAAGTGTGAAATAGCAGGGAAGATTCTTTCTTGTTTTGCTTTTTTTTTTGCTTATTTGTTTATTGGGGAGAGGGGGAGGGAAGGGGAACGGTGGTGGGATAGAGAATTGAGTCTTGAGCATCCCGTGGTTAGCTAATAGATTCTTCATCGATATTGCATATCAGAGTCACTAGAGGGTTTTCAGTTTCCTTCCTGAGAATCCATACTTTGCACAGGGCAGATCAATTTGCATCATGACTTTCTGCCTACACGTAGCTCTAGTATTTCTGATCTCTGTGTAATGCTGGCTATGTCAAGCAAGCAATTTGTAAATTTGAATTTCTGCAATATTTTTATTCCTCTTGTTAGGATGAGTAGCTCTTAGAAGGGAGTCCGGTCTTAACCCATATCTGCAACAGGTCAACTTTCAACCTAGGGTCCAGAGATCACCATCCCTAGTCTAGTGGTGTGTGAAATCAGTACTTACACTAAGCACAGTGGAGCTGTGAACTTGCATTTGTAATTTTAGGTTTTTATCATTAATGGAAGTATTGATAGTATTAAATATTGTCTTCAGTTTTGATTTTATATTCCTAACTGATAGAAAAGATCCAAGGCTGAAAAACATCATGCAGTTATTAGTGTATGTTCTTTGTTCTTTGGTACCATTAAAATATTATTTGACAATACTGAGCATTACACACAGTGAAGTAACTGTAAACTGCATTGCCAGAGGTCTTTAAGGTCTTTCAGTTTTCATTTGGGGTGTTCTAAAGCGTACTTCATGTATTGTGTATCTTTAGAAAAACAAGTTTTAGGCATTTTGGCATTTTATCTTGAAACTATGACAATGAACCCAAAATAACCTACATGTGCACATGTTAATAATGGTGCATCCATACACTCAAAGCCAGGAGAATTCTAAGCTTAAAAAGATTGGCTAATATTCCAAAGTTACTTGGAAAACCACAGCTGCCACTGGAGAAACAATTGGTCATTCCCAACTAATTTCTTTTGTATTTTAATCTAAATGTATTATAGCGTGCACCTACATGTGGATGAAAATTAATTTAGAAAAAAACTGAGCATCATTATCATTATTAGACAAACACTGTTCTCTAACTGTAAATTTCATACTTTGTGCTGGTAACCTGAAAGAGCAATGCTTTATGATTGCTTTAGAAAACACCAACCCTAGACATTATTGGTTCAAATCAGAGAATAAATATGCAGTTTTTATTGTGATGCATAGCTTATCATACCATTGTGAAAACCAGCAATTCCCAGGCAGAATTCCTTATTTTACCTCACTGTGGGCCATAGTAATTCTGTCTGATGTTACCAAGTTTAGAAATTGCCTTAATAAAAATGTGCCTTTCAACTAAAAAGATTGCAGTGCTCTCCAGCCATGTGGATTAGCATGCACCACATGTTCTTCAAGATCCTGTGTTGCTGTGGAGTCTTTAAGCTCCAGTGAACAGCTGCCTTGTGTGACTTTTATGTATTGCTTCAGAGCGATGTAATTCAGTGACTTTATGATAAAGCAGCTCCTTCAAAAAATAAAAAAACAACCTTTGCTTTTCCTCCATTTCTGCTGGGAAGTGTACTGTAGTTAGCGTGCTGTAGTGTAGTGCAGGTTGGCTCCCAGGAACTCAGTGTTGCTGGTTTGTCTCTCCACAGAGCACAGTGGATAAACTCATCAAAAAGACGAACCTTGCCCTGCTGGTCGGAACAAACAGCTGGAGAGACCAGTTTATTGAAGCCATCACAGTCAGTGCTGGTAAGTATAGGCGGCCCGAGATCACCACGGTAGTGTCTGTTTGGTGGTAGCAGGTCTAAAGGCATCACAGCAGATTACTCTGTTCCTGGACATTTGCTAACTACAAGAATTGGGAGTTAGTAAATGTGCATTGTTGCTCTAGACCTACAGCATGTCTGTTCCAAACCTTTTAACTTCAGGTATGTAACAGTATGAAATAGCGTTGGACTCCAAGTCATTTTATCCCCCTCCAGTGGCCACAACCTGTATTACTTCAGGTTAAATCCTCCCAAATGCTTTGTTCTCCACATAGTTATGTCTCTGGATGGTTGTGTATGACAACTTTTAGCGTATTAGAATATGAACAGGACTACTCTGTACAATAATAATTGAATCCCAACCTTTTTTCAGAAAAAGCTTCAAGTGTGCTTGTCTTAAAGTTGCCATAGAACGTAGTGTTTGAACTGAACACGAAGGACACAGAATCCAGACACACGATGTGGTCTGTGCTGCTTAGAGGTGGTAGTCTGGCTTCTGTTGAAAGTGCTGTTTATTTTCATGCCCTGGTTTCATGGCAGAGGTGATTGTGTATGTACTTCCATTTGCCATGGTGTTCAGTTAAACGAGGGTTTTTCAATCCTTTGCCTGCTGGTTTTTGTTAGACAAAATTAAATAATCGAATCCTTGATAGACCTAAATGCCACCCGTTCATGTTGTCCGGCAGCCCTAGTTGCCTGTCCTGCAGTTATCAATAAGTAACAATCTCTTGATTTCATGACAGAATGTAAAAATATTTTAAAAACCCAATTTCCGGTCAGTTAGTCTGAATATCTGACATTTCCAGCAGTTTAGTCTGTATGCTCTAATGACCGAGGAAGCACTGAAGCAAAGCTGACACCAAAGGAGAGTGACTTGTACTGCTTTCCCTCATAAAATAGTTACTGCGGTAAAAACACAGTAGCATGCAGCAAAGCAACATAAAAATTGTAGTTTGATTGTTCATGCAGGACAAAATCTGTGAAACCATAACGAGTAGTTTGTACTTTGTTAGGCGATTGGAAAATCTGCAAATGAATGTACCCATGTACTTACTATATTCAACTTTCTCAAGATGTGGTTAAAAATGTGATATATCTCAAAAGCAGGAGAGACACAACTGCGGTCTTGTTCTTGAACAAAAAATAAATCACTATAATAGAATTTAAGGCTTATCTACAGAGGGAATATCCCTGCTTTGTTTATGACACGCAGTGCGGCGTTTTGAATTTGATTCAAATTTTCTCCACACAGCAGATGAGGCCCAGAGTGCTTTGGTTTCATTTCTGGTGATTAAAATCATCCATTTCCCATCATCAGGCCTTGTTAATGAAGGCGTCTCTGCATCATTTAGCCTTCTGTCCCCCACTCGGAAGCATGAATAAAATGCTGCAGTGCCGATTGCAGGGAGAAAAACAGCCCCCACACTTGAGCCTGAGAAAAGGGACACATCTCTCGTTACCGTTTTATTGTCAACGAGGGAAAAAAAAAACCTTGTCTGGAATGAAGCAGTTACTCCAGTTGATAACTCCGCTGACACTTAAAATCATATTAAACTGCAAGAGTGACTGTGTTCTACTGGAGGAGTAACCCATTCTCCTGGAAAACTGCAGAGAAGCAGCTTCTAATCTTTCCTTCCTGGGCTAGAGGCGAGGAAAGGGTTTTCGAAGAATCATCCCTCTTCCGATGAGGAAGCCTCAGAGAGCTTTGACTTCCCAGATCTCAAGACGCTCTTCTGAAAGTGTGAATCCGACAGGCCGGTTGTTCAGAGTGACCCACAAAAACTGCTTACTCATGTAGCCAGGTGTGAAATCTTGTGTTCTCCCCAGGGATCTTATTTATGAAGCATTTCATCAGCAGGCTAATTTTATTCCCCTTTTTAGCAAGAGGAAAAGCCAACTGCTGGTGCTACGAAACCAGAAATAAGCAAGTGAAAAACCTGCTGTGACTGAGATTAACATCCTCTTTGATATAATATGTGATTCCTGATAGCTACGTTTCCTTCTCCTGTAGGAAGGAAGCAGGTGTCATGTAGAGGCTGTGAAAGTTCGGTGATCGTGGTTTTGTCTCTTACTGTACATCGAGCGAGAGTGAGTTGTTTTCAGACTGTACCAGAGTGTTAAGCCTTCTGCTGTTGAAGTTATTCTCCTATTGGTTTTTTGGCACATCCAAAGAGCTAAGCTGTTTTACCGGAGACCTCTTAACTTCATGACTGGATGTGTGCTTACTTCAGATGCAAACGGAATATTAAGTCTTGAATAATTGGTCACATTCTTTTCAGACAGCAGCTCGGATAATGGAAGTAAAAATGTCTTTGTTTTCTAGCAGGCACCATACATACTTGGTTTTAAAAATAATTACCATGGAGAATGCACTCCAGTGATTTAATTAAAAGTCCTAAAGACATTGGAAGTCATTCTGAATAATTAAGAATTATGATGTGCAATATATAGTGGAGTTACTTAAAAGAAGCAAAACATCAAAGACATTTCGACATGCTCGTTCATTTAAGCCTGTTTTTCTTAATTAATCTTCTCAGAGTCAAGTACAAAAAGTCATTGATTTAAAGGACCAATAGCAATTGCTAATAAATTCCTTATTAGTTATATTGCGTGATATCAGTAAAGTGTTGTACTGTGAAAGCACTCACACACTGTTTTATTTTTTTTGTTCTGTTCTGTAAATAGACAAAATAAGCATGTGCTTCTCCAAACACAAGTAGTCTTTAAATGGTGCTGCAGACCTGGGTGAGTGAGAATGGTTTGGTTTCGATAGCACAACCTTTAGCAGGTCAAACCCATAAACAGTATTTTCTGCCACATCTTGGATTTGTAAATGAACAAAGACCAGATGGACCAACTAGCTGCTTACTCCCAGAAAGTCCCAATAGTGCAATACACAGGCTTGTGTTGGCTGTAGGCTGCACAGAAACAAACAGAGGCTGATTCTTCTTACAAAGGGCCAAAAAAAGTTCCTCTTAGGTGTGAGGGTGTAAAGAAGTGTCTTTAGCCAAAATACGTGTTTTTTCTTTCTTTCTGCCCCTCAGCTTGGAATTACGCTCTGCTTGTTCAGACAGCAGTATAGTTCTGAATTGTCTTTGTATGTAAAGAAAACCTCAAAGATACTCCGCTGTAGAGTGAACTAAAGTTTAAAAAAAACGCTAATGTTAGGGGTGTACTGGGAGTCACATGACAGTCTTATTGAGATCCTCATTGGCTGTTAGACCGGTCTTTGTTTTGCCATACTGAGGCAGCACGTTCGCCAGCTGCTCTGCTTTGACCTGTTTTGACTCAGCAGCTCAGTAACACCGACTGATTAGGTTGTCTGTTGGGAGAGAAAAGAGGATCTGGTAGGATGATGCCTTTAGAGGTGAGGTATCAGTTCAGTCATTAATCATCCTTGCTCAGGAGCGAACTGTGATGGCAGGGGGATAGGAATTGAGCGATTGGACAAGCTGAGCTTTCCTGTTATTTGTTTTTAAAGTTATTGCAGTGACTTAAGTAAAAATCCTTTGGTACTCCTGGAGGCGTTATGTAGCAGGATAAACTGAAGCAGGAGGTCAATGTGACCACGCTGCTGGAGCTTAAACTACCCACCTGTTTTTCTTTGCCTCAGGTCATGTAGCCTAAGGGATACTCTAACACTCAAATGAAACGCCAGCACAGTGGGACTAAATAGTAAAATTTGAAAGCAGTGCTCCACCCACTTATTACCTTACAGCCACTGTGACCTTCTGCTCAGAATGTTGCACCATTCCAACATCGGTGATCAGCAGCATCGTTTGTCTTTCTCTTTGGTCTGCATGGTTCTTTCCTGGTCTTTCATTATCTAGTCTCAGGATTCCAAGGCACTCACAGCATCCTTTGGGTGCTTTTAACGTTGTTTAAAAGGATTTGGTTGCTTAGCTGAGACTAATATCTATACAATTCTGAGCCTGAGGTTCAGTTTGATCTTTACCAGAAGCTAACAAGGGCGAGTGCTATAATAATTGTAATACCGGTGTAATACCTGTAATACTGGTGTACTATCCAGTGTAAAATCTGTAATAGTGGAGTAATAAGTGGTATAATACCTGTAATATGTAGAGTAAAGAGCTCTTGTCTTTCAACTTAATATTCCTTTGAAAGCATTTTTTGAAATTATTATTCTGGAGCTGTATCCTATAAAAACATGGATGAGTTAAACGTGTTGCTGGCTAACCTAATGCCTCCAGGGAATTGGCTTCAGTGAGATTTATGTTGGGTTTTTACTGCCTTCGGCTCAGGCAGGATATGCGGTACGGATGGCTGTAAATTTCCAACATCTAATTATCTTAGCTTTGCAAAGGCTGACATTACCTTAAGAGAAGCTGTGTGGATGTGTAACACATTTTATGCTTCCAAATGATACTTTGTTCTACTTCTATGTATTTGTTTTATTAAATTGAGCTTCAGTATGTGCAGTGACTGGTTGGGGTGTGTCTGCATTGTGAGTTTCTTTTCTTTCTAACTTCCCATAGAAATTATTTCTTGTCATTTTGACAAATAGGCCCTATAAGGAGTCAGCCTTTTTTTCAGTCTGCGTTGTTCCTCGGTAAAATAATGAGAAAATTTCAAGGGTCACAGATTCCTTGTGCTTGTCGGCACCTTTTTGCTCTTTTCGTTTGTGGTAGAGGTGTGTGTCCGTGGGGAGGAAGAGTTGCATTAATGTCAGTGTCAATTCCTGCAGGAGGTAAATAAAAGTGTGATTCTGGTCCATTCTCCCCATGCTGAGAATTTATTGAAATTGTATTTTTTTAATGTACAGTGCTTTATGGAGGCTTTTTTGAAAGGAGCTTTATAAAATAAAGTTGTACTGGTTGGTGGTACATGTGCTAAGCAAACGTGAGAATTAATGGATTTCTTTGTCCTGCCGGGTTCTTCTGAGTCATGTCCTCATTCATGCAGCACAAAGCGATGGGCAGCTATGTGGGCCCTTGTAGATGTACCCAAAACAAATGAAATGAA